AGACACGCCTCAACTGGAAAGAGTACATACCAATATGCACGAGCATTTAATAATCTTAAGATCAAGACCAGTCTTGATGACTACAACACTGTTGACCATGCCAGATCTAAACTCTAAGGGACTAATCAAGTCGCGCATCCTCTGTAAACTACCACTGTCACCAATCTGCCAACTGACCAAAATCAAGACCCCCATGATGAACTCAGTGAGTGCATCCAACCCCTGTTCCCCCTGTGAACTGTACCAAGTTCACAATATCCTCAATCATTCAAATCTCCTCTACATCATGGAGTCATGTAAAACCCCACCCACACGGGGACTACACTGCATCCCCATTCTTTAATCTGTACCAAGTGTATGCCTTCCTGTGATTTGGGCAAAACCATACTGTCCCCACTCAAGTACATGTATGTGTTTTACACGGATACACATTGGGGTCATAACTCCAGTCAGTCACCCCCCATACTGAAACCATTCCGAAATATTGTAACTGCTCAAAGGTGTTCTGGTAGTGGAGAGTGGGAGGGTATTTTGTAGCAGTCTAACTCAGCAGAGGTGACAAGAAGAGGCAGAATGCGTGCAGAAGTTCGACAGTGAGCCATGCAACGAATGCTTTGAATGGTGGACTGCCAAGTGGTTAGCCAATCAAACGATATATGCAATTTGATTCACCATTGGAACATCTGTCCCTCCTCCCTTCAGCCAAAGGGCTTATTTGGAGACAAACACCAGAAAACTATTGTATCTACCAATTATCACACTATTACAGCAAATTTTGCCAGGCATACATGTACACTGTAAAGTCAAAATATGTTTATGACATTTTTCAACCTGTTCTCAGAGGGTGCTCAAGAATTTCATGAAGTCTTCAGTCCAAGTTGTGAAAAATACTGTTGGACAGGGACTAACACTGTTGAAATGAGAAATGGGTTTGTGTGTACACCATGGAATCAACCTCTTTTGGGCGAGGTGTGGTTCTTAAAAGAACTGGTGAGTGTTAACTCGATGTTTCAGCCAGTGTGCTCTGGCTGTCCTCAGGAGAGTGTCCTGAGGATGGCCAGAGCACACTTCAAGCTTCAAATCTTACTTACCACTGTTGAAACAAGGTTCATATCTGTTTGAGTAAAAAGACACTTCCGGTTTTGACCAGAAGCAAGGGTCACATATTTTTATACACAGGACATAAAAATGAAGACCTAAATTGACCCTATCACTTGCCACATAAAGCAAGACAAGGGGTAAGTTCATGTAGGTAATTTTTATATGGATTTTTCAAGATTAAAAATTAAAAAACAGAAGAAAAAAAAGAGTCAAGTTGTGGAGAATTTTGAGTATTCTCCAAATATTTTCAGTCTTGAAAGTATCTTTCATCAGGAGTAGGGTACCTCAAACCACAACTTCAGAACAAGTATTTTCATGTACAGTGTATGTTGTGTATGGACTATGGACAAACAACATAAGACATTCTGCATATTCTAATGTGTTTGTGCATACCTAGTCTTAGTTCCAAAACCTGACTGTCGTTGTGCGATTATGAACCACCACTGTTTGAGGTTTCTATATCCAAATGAACCATCATCACAGGAAGGTCAGCAAATAAAAGCAAGGCTGTCAGGACTGTGAGTGAGACTTTTGATTCTTTTTCTCCCCAACATCGTACTGAAGCAGCATTTGCTTTTGAATTCCGTCCCCCCCATTCCAAAAGCTGGATACGCGACTGGCTTTCTGCTCTCCTGGTAGCAAGTTCCTCCACTCTGTATTCCTCTATTAGGCAGTGACACAGTTTGTTCTGCACGTGGTCTTAGAATGGAGTAGTGGTCTTCCCCAAAATCAGACTCCCGTGCTGACTTTGCTGAAGAGTATTCTCTTGGGAAGACGGTCTGACGTCATCCTACAGACATGACCGAATAATCTGAGACAGTGCTCTGCAAGGACGGTGTGCATACTCACATTTTGAGCGTGCTGCAAAACTTTCACATTTGAATGTGGAACATACGCTGGTGGGTAGCAGCTAAGAATATGCCAGGAACACAGATAACTGAGAAATTGGAGCCATTTTGCTGTCTGTCATAAGTTGCGTGCCTCACATGGAACAGTTACAATGTGTGATATTTCTGCTAACTTTAGCACTCCAATTTGTCCTTTTCCCCCTGACTGGACATAGATAGGGTGAAAACTCATCAAGTAGCTGAATATAGGTAGTTGTTCAAAACTAATCCATCAGTGTAGCTGAAAGGCATATTAAAACCAACTAAACACAGCAGTTTGACATATAGATATTGAGATTTGAGATCAGGATGTCATTTTTTTATGTTGAATGATGTCATGAACTAACATAAATAATTCAGTATAAGCTTCAAAGGAAATTGTTAATTGGCTCCCGCAACAGTCAGGGGAAAAAACAAAGAAAAACATAGGCAGTGCGCAACCAAATTTGTCAAGGGGCGATTTTTGATTGTTCACTTCTGTACAATGACACGGCAACAGCAATCAAATGAAATGCAGGCTCAAATTTGTCTTTGGCTGTAGAGGGGGCCAATGTAGTCTTAAAGCCAGGAGTACTGCACAGAAAGATAGAAACGTTTGACGTGTGGCAGTCGGCTTTTAATGCTTTCATGTCAATTTACATTTCTTAGCACCCATCCCATTGTATGGAGCTTCTTAAGTATGCAGAGCTCATTTTCACTGCATCCATTAAATTCGTAGAGTTTGGCTTGCAAGCTTATGATGAGCTATTTTGCCTTAGGCGTGAGGTCAAAATACAGACAGTTAGAAACAGTTCAACAGTTGGTGTTAATCCCCCTTCATTCCGTTCGTCTTTTGGTGTGAGACATTTCAATAGTTTGAAAAGAACTGTCGGCCCTGGTCTGTCTAGCTTCACAGGCAACCCTGACAACATTGGAGTTTGTGGCTTACACAGCCGTAGTTGTGAACAATAGATTCTATTCAAGGAGAACTTAAGTGGCCCCGTTCAGCCTTCCTGGGCCGTAAGGATTAGTGGTTAACACCTTGTGATAGAGATGCACAATCCACTGCATTCTAGGCTACAGACATTTCTCTAGCTTCAGAAACGTTTTGAGTGGGTACTTCATGAAAAAAAGACATCACCACAAGATCATTGTTAGTCTTTGAGCATTTTTTAGACTGGAAAATAAAGACGTTTATACAGGAGTGACGGGAAATGCCGAACACGGTTGCCTCATTTTACTGCCTGATCTATCGTCTCTGAAAGGAAATATCCACATAGACACAATATAAATAAATTTTGAACTGCAGTCATGTGAACCATATTCTTTGAAGGTAATAAAAAAGTCAAACTCCACATCAAATAGTGTTGCAAGTATGTGTCAAGGTTCGGTTCTATTCAGACACGGCTCAGAAATTTTTTGCCAAACTTCGGATCGGTTGGGGTTCGCACATGTACACACATGTAATCGTACAATGCACAGTGATACATCGAATGGCTCGCTACAATCGTGCTGCATAGGCCTATATAGTATTTCTGTGTATAAAATTATGAATCTCCTGTCTCTCCCCATCCACGAGCAACTTTGATTTGAACACATTTTTTTTTTCTTAACTGTTTCCCCAGAGTTTGTTTACAAGTACATTCTATATAAAGTTACCGCGGAGGTGTGACAGTTTCTGACCATGTTTTGTCGACCAGAAGCGGTTGTGTTCGGACCACGCTTGACTCAACAAAAGGATCACAAGATATGTGCAAATAGAAAAAAAACAGCGTGCTTAAATAGGACTTTCTGCCTCCTTCAGTGCATAATACAATATTAAAAAACAAATTTTGCGTGAATTGTGTTTTGGGTTATTTTTGCAAAATAGATTGAACTACGAAAATGGCTTTCATTGTATATCTGAGGAGGAACTTTTCCAAGGACGGTGTGCATGTGACCAAAGGGGCAATTTTCCATCAGCCTCTTTAGCATTTTGCTATTTGAGATTTGGCAAAATTCCATTACAACGCATTCGCACTACGATCAAACCCTTCATGGTCAAATGAAAGGCAAGTTAGGCCACTGTGCGAACAAAAATCTCCTCGTGCACTGCGCTGAAGCACAGCATGCACCGAACTACTGGCAAAATTTTTATCTGGGGATGCCTTGGATCAAAGGCAAGTCCGACTGTTGTCAGCATCCAATCAAAATTTGTTTTGCACGGCCATTTAGGAGACAATTGGCCTAATATGCAATGTCATTACCCTAATATGGAAAGTAAGGGCATGGCTATCGGAGATTGGCAAATATAATAATAAATCTGAATATACATGAGCAGGATTGGATGAAGTGAGAATTTAGAAATGTTATGCAGCAACAATGCCGTATGTTGCATGTTCTTGGTTGATTTCTGAGTGATTCTCACCGCATGCTTTTTACAACCATCTCATAATGCGGCCATTGTGAGTTTCAGTATGTTCATGCACATGTGGAGCATGCCATACAACTTGTAATCCATTTTTTGCTGTGTTTGTTTTTTATTAATTTTATTGTATGTATTCCCGCATGTCTTCAATGAAATGCCTTATTAAAGCCGTACATCCGAACCGAACAAGTGCCTTGTTTGATAATTTTTGCCTCGATTCGGCGGTTCGCCTGCAGCACTAGATTAAATTGTGTTTATTGTTTTAATTTACTGTGCATTAAAGTTTAATAGGTAAAGTCAAAAACCAGAGATTAGTATAAAACCCGACATGTTTGTTTTTCCAACAACAATTTTGTGCAGCCACAAAGTAGACAGAGTCAAAAGAATCGTACGTACAAAACATATTTCAATGTGCACGCATGTACTGTTAACTTCAAGAAAAAACATGTATCCTTAAATCGTGCAGATGCAGCCGCGAAGTGGAAAGCGCGAAGTTTGTGCACGTGTCTTCCTCGATCCTACACATGAAAACCTGTGTGTGCGCAACGCTGAGTGCCAGCTTGTGCACACGGGCAAAAAGAGAGGTTTTATCTGTAACTACATGTTGGCAAACAGTACGCTACATCATGTATGATTCAGGTAAATACTATTTTGAGTTAGTATAATTGATTTGACTCACGATACCGAGACAAAATATCAAAATTACAGGGTATCGAGACCTGAAAAGACTGGTCTGGAAACTGACAGCGCAATACAACTACTCAATACATGTGTTTTATCAGGATGTTTAAAACAGTCTGCCGATCATGTGGTAATGCGGTGAGCTGTCCATTGTTTACTGGAAGCTGCAGAGTGCATGGTGTACTCGACTGCAACGGTTTGGCTAGCTTTGCTGAAGCATTCATCTGTTGTTATAGTATTTACAAAGCGTTGAACGCTTTCAAAACATTTGTATTTTGACCTCATGCCTTAGGCAGGAGCTAACCCTGCACGTTCATGGGGAAAATTGATTTCAAACTTTGGCTTACAGTTGCGACGGCAACTGTCACTTCCTCGTTGCAAAGGGTGTTCCAAATAATCCTCAACCCACGTATCATCTAAAACGTCTCAGGCTGGGCCACTGCTTTGTAATTCAGCAACAGGCTCCAATTTCCCCAATTGTAAATTTGCACACACTTGGCAGAAATCCATGCGAGCTGGCCATGGGGCCACCCATCGCCGATCAGCCGGCCAAATGCATTTGAGAATGGGTCCCAATGTCGGCACCTTGGCAAACCCATCTCGTATGCCCCTACGTGGAGCCCCATGTTAATGATGCGTCCACCAAAGCGAACTGGTATGCACCATTGCAGCATATGCCACTGAGTGCCAATTCCAAGCCTTTCCCAGTCAGCTAAGCCAATTCCTTTCGTCCTTCTAGTGCCAATTAATGTTTAACTTTAGCGTGAGTTACTTGTTGACTATCCTATTCAGAATGATGCTGCCATTTTATTACACGGTTTCTCAGAAGGATTCACTTTAGAGTACTTAGGTTCCTGTTTACCTTTCAATTCATGATGCTTAGTTTTGGCGGCTGAGCGCCCTGATGTGGTACACAAAAATGTATCCTCCAAAATAGCCCTTGGTAGAATTGTTGGTCCATTTGTTGAGCGACCTTTTCCAAACTGTGCACCCCTATAGGTTTAGTTCCTAATCATGAGCCGAATTCGTTTTTGATTGCCCTTCTCCTTTCCAGCTGGGCAATCAACTGATACCTTCATTGACAAAGATCTATGCGCAGTAAATTATGCTATGTTTGATGATGCTGTTGCCTAAGCTGTTAGCGTGGGTGCAGGGGCATTGTTGGCTAAAGTGGACATTAAATCTTCCTTTCGTTTACTATGACCAATATGTATGCCCAAGTGATTATGAACTGCTTGGTTTTGCATTTCAAAGCATGTTTTATTATGACTGATGTGTGCCAATGGGATGTAGCATTTCTTTCTTGTTATTGGAGAAATTTAGGTCATTTTTCGAATATCAGGTCAAACTAGTTAGCCAATCGCAATTCATTATCCATTACCTAGATTATTTCTTTTTTATTGAATCATCAGCTGTGACCAGTTATTGTCCTGCTTTCCATCCCTGTGTACAGCAGTAGGGGTCGCGCTAGCCATTGAAAAGACTTTTTGTCCGGTCCAACAACACTGGACTTTTTGGGTCTATAAAATAATGCTATAATAACAAAAGCGGTGAGTGTGCCAACTGACAATGTGCTCGCCACTTTGAAACTCATCGAGCAGGTGTTGTCAAGAAGAAAATTTTCCTTTGGGTTTCTGTTCTATGTTCTCACAAAGCAACAATTTCCCAACCGATATCGGATAATCAGTCCACACCCGTAGTCATTCATTTCTCCCCAGAGCATTCGTTTAAAGGAGTCAATTAACTGGTCTCTGGTACAGTTTCTTGTATTTATCCAAACATTTGGGCCTATTTTTCTGCCACTTTGATGGGAGCCCACTGACACAGTACCAGTTTTATGCGGTATTGTAACGGGACACCAGTACATAAATAATCACAAGCAAAATTGGCTTCTGATTTCACAGTTGTATTTACAGAAAATGTTCCAACAGAAATGGCCCAGGCAAAGCAAAGGGACAACCCGGGTGCCAAACCAAATTAAGGGATAAACTAGACGGCTTCCAACAAACTTAATATACAAAAGTAACTTATAAATTATACATGATTGGTAGAAAGCTGTCCAGCAGGGTGTGTCTCCAGTCACAGTTGGCACAGAAATGCCTCACTCGTTGTTCTGTTTAAATGGTGCCTTCAGCAACTCAGGCTATTTGCGCCAATAACTGTACGTTTATTCATACACTTTATTAATCAGCATCACATTATGGAGTTAGGGAGAAAGTCCAGTTTTAGAGGCAGGAGGAAACCGGAGTACCTGGAGAAAACCTGCGAGAGTGAGTATGGACTGGAAACGAAATGCACTTAAAGCCTGGGCCAAGCCAGGACTCGAACCCTGGCTTCATTGGTGCAAAGCGAGGAAAGAACCGCTAAGCTAACCTGCTCCCCCATCCTCACTCGTTCCTGGAGACACCAACTTAAGTAAGGAAATTGTAACAAAGAACATTCTTTTGCAATAGCTGGAGGCAAATAGGAACAAAAGAAAGAACGGGTCTGGACAGAGTGGCCAAGACCA